TGCTAATATACGATAGTATGGCATAGGGGCAGGGAACTAGGGATGGACCTTGAGATTGAGGGCAGTGTAGGGGAGCATGACCTTGCGGCGGTCCTGCTGGAGGTGGCGGAGCTTGGAGGGGAGTTTGCCGCGGGAGAAGACGAAGCTCTTGGGAATCTTGGCGCCGGTGATCTGATCAACGTTCGCCAGCGCCGCCTTCTGCTTCCGAAGCGTCGCCGCGGGGATGCGCGGACCGCGGCCCCGCCTCTTCCCCGGCCCGGACCGTGGCTGGCGCATGGCGGCTCAGTTGAACGAACACACAAATGATGGAAGAAGAACCTCGATTGATTCTTCTTTCCTCGCAATGCATCCCAAATCCAACCACGGTGCTACAATTGGGGATGTTCTTTGTTTTTACAATTGGTGATGTTCAGGCTCAGAACAGAACCCCTCCCTGTTCAGAATTAGCACTGTTGGTCATGCTCTTGAATATCAATTTTGCTGGTCTGTGTACTGTTTATTGTTTACGGTAGTTGTTTTGTTTGATCGGAAATACAAATTTGCAGTCATGTGATGTTAATTGTTTGCAGGAAATCTGTGCGCTGTTAATTGTTTGCAGGAAATCTGTGTGCTGTTTATTGTTTACATTGCTTGAGCCGTTCATAATCTGTACAGCGGGTGTTTCTTCATCTGCTTTTTTTTTCTGCTTATTTCAGTAATTTCGGGAGAAGGAAATAAGCTGAGAAGAACAAAGATGTAGCAGTTAGGTCTTGAAACACATTATTGTTTGGTTTGTAGGCACGAAAATTCAGATGATGCAGAAAAGGTTCAAGCCTATAAAAGTACAACAGAAAGCCTTCTAAAAAAAAGGCAAGTTCAATTTTGAATTGTTAAAGAGCAAGTAATGCTATTTTTGCAATTTGGGAAAGGAAGATAGAAATGTTTATGACAGAAGGATGGAGAGGACATGTTTACTGAGTTGGAGAGAGCTCTAGAATTGTTAAAGAGCAAGTAATGCTATTTTTTCTAGCCTTACTTTCTCTGAGATTTGAATATCTGATTATGCTTCCAAATTACAATTTTTTATGCTCAGTATTAGTCATGGAAAAATACCTTACCTTGCCTAATCTAACTGACATTACATGTACACAGTTCGTTTAGAAACATATCTATATGCACCGGGATCCCTGAGAGCTACTTTTCTAGCAGCACCTGTACCACTACTATTATCTATGACTTTCCATTTTTCATGTTCAGTTTCAGTTGATGTTGTGGATCTTCATAGAGTTTATCAGTGAATTTCCTGTTTCGGCCTGCAATAAAATCAGGAATCCTTTTTCCCTATGATCCGAAGGTTGTTTCAGTCTTGGTCAATGTACTTAGCTAAATCCTTGAGAGATACCATTGATTGGCCTAAGTACGTCTGAATCTTGAATATAGGGAAGCATAATAATAGAAAGCTGCAAACTACATGCCAAACTCCTCTAAAAGGATTACCTCCAGGTGGTAGGTGTTCATGTGTCTGATTTTTTTCTTCAATATGATTTTGCTTATATACGAACTTCCCTAAAATATTTGGCTGCATACAAGCTACAAAGTTTTGTATAACCTGGCTTGCTCTATACGTGCTTCTCGCTCGCTAACAGGTATTTGTATATATTTCTGCATGTCGATACACCAGTTCTTGAGATGGCAGAGCTATGCACCAGGGTAATTGTGTTACTTTATCCATATGTACATATACGACTATTCTACCATTAAAAAAATTCAACATGTAGATCGCTCTGTCAGGAACATCATATTGCCATGACGGAGTTCATTGTGGCAAGCCGCAACTTCAGCTCTGATTTGTACCCTGCAGCCTTCATGTCTGGTGCTGCACTCAATTATGTCACATTTTTATATGCACTAATAATTATATTTATTTTAATATTCTCGCCAAGCAAAATTCTGGTGTTTCTGATTGAGGCAAATTTTGCAGAGTTGACATTGGCTGGTGTGTGCTGGCCAGCTGCTTGCTTTCTCATTCCACAAATTTGTGACCTGTGAGGTAATGTTCTATCTTCAGAAGTATTTTGGTAATTAGTTGTGGCATGTTTGTTGTATAATATATCTACTGTCTTTCCGAGATTATGCCAATTAGATATTGTTCAATGATTATGCTAATTGGTTATTTTCCCATCACTATGGTAATTACCCATGCCACACAATTCAACTGAAACAGTTTCCTTAGAGCATTGCTTCTTCTGTATTGCTGGCAGATATGACTTACCTATGTGTAGGCCTGTACCTTGACGAGGCTCACAGATCTGAAATAGTGATAATGGCACGTGATTAGCATTGCTTATTTATTGCTGGCAGGCAATTAGCATCACTTCTTTTTTGCTGGCATCTTCTCCATCGCTGCTATGAGCATGTGAGCATCTTCTTTTGCTGCAGCCTTCTTCTCTATTGCAGGTAAGAATGGAAGGAAAGCCCCACAGGTCCCAAACAGTGATGCTGCCCCACTGCTTGAATTGCATTGACAAAACGTCAATTAGTTGGTTATAGTCTCCATCTCACTAATTTATAGGATGGAAAATATATTATGATCTCTAATCTAATTGTTGATCCCTTATGACCATTTGTAGGATACAAAGCTTTTCTCGGCCACTATCCTTTGCCAAAACAAGTTCTCTGGATTGTTGACCATGGTCAGTCCTGACACCCACAGCAAGATAGAGAGATCTATGATTCTGCACCCTACCATTGTGCTAATCTTCTCTCTCTTTCTATTACAGTTCAACACACTTCTTAATCTGTGATTCTATGTTCTGTCATTGCGCTGATCATATTGAAAACCCTCCGTTCAAAAATGTATTGAAGAATTTTGACCAGCTTACGAGGATTCCATAAAAGCTATAACTGACATTGTTACTACATGCATTTAGGGCTCTGACAATGGAGAAGGCAATGATATCAATCTTGAAAAAGCACTGTTCACGGCTTAAAAACTTCAGAGTGAACAGTGCATGCAACTTGCTCCGGTGGAGACCACTTGAATAGCCTTTCGTTTTGCAGAAGAAAAGAGGAGTATTTTACTGTATTGCTATGTCATGTCTCCGATGCTGTTTGTAATTTGAGGTCATAATTTAGTTTAATGTCATCTAATGACAGTTCTGCTACTGTTATCATGATTCATTTATATATTCTATTCGCTGGTTGATACCACCGTCCTAGTACGTATATATAGCAGATTGCCAGTCGTAAGAGCTGAGTGGCAACTACCCTATACGTATATACTTGTGCAGACACGCTAGATACAGTATGGCACGTAGCAGGAGTATATATCGGATGTATATACATTCATCAGGTAGCGACAAGTACCTGTGTGTGCATATATAAACGCACGTACATGCGTGTTTAGTTTTATTCGGAAGTAGGTTGCGCATGCTTCTGCTGTGCGGCAGCGGCAGTACTAGTAGTGCAACTCTGCAACTGCAACCACCCCTGACCTAAGAGACTCTTAGTGGTGACCACAGGGGCTGTTCGGCTGGCTGGCCGGTGGCTGGCTGGCTGGGCAGCCCCCTCACGAATCACTATTTACGTGAATCGTGATTTCAGTCACAACAGTATTTTCTCTCATAACAATTAGTTGGAACAGTATTTTGTCATATTTTTCAGTCCTGCCGAACAGGCTCTAAGAGTCTGAAAGCCCAGTTTTATTTTGAAGAAGGAACCCAGAAGGCAAAGCAATCTCCAGCCACCAAAAGAGCGAAAGGCACAGGATCGGAAGAAGCAAGCAGAGCAGAGAGGAAAGTTTGGGTTCCACGCAACATGCACTGCCAAGAGACAGGGAGGAAAGAAAGGGAGGAAGCATCATGCATCGGCAGCCAAGGAATAGAAAAGGCGAGCATGACAGTTGACAGCAGGGGGATTTGGGAGCGGATCGGAGAGGGACGGCACGCTAGGGATCGGATCTTTGGCTTGATGATGAAACGCAACCCAGCCTCTGAGCCCTGGCTCCCATCATCACTGGAGTCTGGAATCCAAGGCAAGAATACAGCACGCACGGCAACACACACAGCGAGCGATGCAGCAGGAATACAGGATGGATAATCCAAGCCTTCAGACTGTCGGTGCCGCGGCTTCAGTTGTTCCGGTATGTGCATGGCCGCGCAGAAACGTTGCGATTCTATTGCAGTACCGCGCAGAAATGTTTTATAACTTGTTGCATCTTCATTCGTTCGAGTGGGCTACTCGTATATGTAATGATAGCTTAACCATTTGCGCCTCCAAGTTGTTTGCGGTTGATTAGTTGTACGATTTTACAAAGTGGTCTTATAGTAGTAGTAGTATCTCTTTTCTCCGGCAAGCTGCTCCCACAACTCTCCTTGTACATGCATTGACTAGTGCGATAGATAAAGCAGCATTACCTATCCAAATCCACTGTATAAATAAATAGCATACTTTGAGTAAGCAGCACAATAAATAATAAATAAATAAATAAAAACACTAGGAAGGGAATATGGCAATATATGGTCTCATGCATTGGCAATTGGCATTGCCCCCGCCCCTGGTGGTGGTGGATGTGGATCTCTCTTTCACACAGGACACAGGATCACCACCAGACGCGTGCTCGATCCTCTGCTGTCTGCCCTCTCTCTCTCTCTCTCTCTCTCTCTCTCTCTCTCTCTCTCTCTCTCTCTCTCTCTCTCTATATATATATATATATATATATATATAATAGATAGATAGATATATGAGAGCTCCAATCCATATCCATGACACACGCCAACATATCACACAATCCCCATATCTGTTTGGCTTCCATACTGATCCATACAGTACGTGTACGTGCCGTGCCAAGCTTCTCCCTCGCCTACCTAAACCCAATCCACTTCCTTTCTTTTATCTCCACATGGTCTCTACTTCCATTTCATACTTTGTGTGCCTCCTCGATATCCTTCCTGGGAGCGGTGTTAATTGTTCTCTTGTTCTGGAGCAGCAAGAGCCGAGGAGGACGACGACGGCAGTAAGAGATGGCCGACGGCAGCAGCAACTCATCGGCGTCGTCGGTGGCCACGGGTGAAGAGGTACAGGTGCCTGCTCTGCTCTGCTCTACTTACTACCCTGTCACGCCATGGTGTTCCTCTGAACTCATTATGCACTTGCTTGCTGAAATGGATCGATCGAGAGCATTGTTTGTTCTTTGTTCATATGAATCGTTTCACGGCTGCTCCGTTCTTCTGATCCACCACCCGTTTTCATTTTCTCTATGCCTCTTTTTGTTCACATGTTTTTCTCTGCCTGAATTTTCCTCTTGACTGATCCATCATGTTTGGAAATTCTAGAACCAGAAGAAAAATTGTTCTTTTTCACTGCTGCTGCTGTTTCTTTGTGTGTTGCAGCAGGATGCAATGTGGATCGTCTAAGGCTAGTGTCTGAACATATCAAGCACTAATGATCCCGTTTTCTGATTCCGTAATTCGCAGTTAAAAGGGAAAAAAAAGTTCATAGGATAGTCTGTTCTGTTCCAAGTTTCAACAGGAGAGTGTGTAATGCTGAATAATGCTTACTACACAGCGACTCACCGAGCCTTTTTTTTCTTTGGTTTTTTGCTGGAAAAGTAATCGCTGGACTGAACCTTACATCCACCGAAAACCAAAAGACGAAAATGATGTGAAGAATCTCTTGGCTGAAATTTTCTGATCGATGCTCTGAACAAAACCCGTGGGCCAACCGGCCAAAGCCAACGCATGCATTCTGTTCATTGCAGACCAGAACAATACCATACCAGCCTTCTTCTTTTTCACCAATGAGAGCGAGACAAGCTTGGAATCTCTCATCTTTGGGGGTCCATCTGCATGGACCGTGCACAGGCAGTGAACAGCATTTCACTGCCCTGAATCATTTGATTTGAGCACATTTCGTCTGAATGTTTCTGAAACCCTGTCCTTGTCAGCGACAGCTTCGTTCACGGATGGCCGTCGGTTCAGTAGCATGTTTCACATGCTCTACTAGCTACTTTTTCTTCGCAAAATAGACAGTAGAGTAGTCACGAAACCTGCACCCACCCTGCCTGGGGAAAAAATAAAGATGGGCTCTGAGTGCAGACTTGTTTTCATGAACTTGCCTGCCTGTGTTAAGAATGTGTAAATGCAGGATTCCATATTGAATATGGTGTGGGTTTTGTTAGCTAGCGTCCAATTTTATACGTTACTGGTTACTGCACTACACATAACGTTTAACAGTAATATACTTTGAGCTGCAGGCTTTCGTTGAGAAGAAGTATGGTGGAATGGTGCCTAAGAAGCCTCTGATTTCAAAGGTATTACTATCTACTGCTAGGCTGACCAACCTTAAACATGCAGCACCGATGTGCATGGAACGAATCTGCTTACAGTACTATAGCATCTGATGATTTTTTTTATTTATTTGGTGGTTTTCTTGTGCAGGATCAGGAGCGCGCCTATTTCGATTCTGCGGACTGGGTCCTTGGCAAGGTATCCAATCCTTCTCATCCATCCAGGAATAAATAAATGCGCATCTCTGCCTCTGCAAGTTTCTTGTATGCTACAGGCCCATAGATGGGCTACAGCATGCATAGATGCTACCTAGCTGTTCTCTGAACTGATGAAACCTTTGCTTTCTGATGGAAATGCTTTGCTTCAGCAAGCTGCAAACAGCGGCAACGCACGGGCTGCTACTGCTATCGAATCCTTGAAGCCAAAGCTAAAGGTGAGTAGCTAGACTGCAGTGATTTTTAGCTCAGCTGCACTGCACTGCACTGCACGTTTTATCAATGCAAGTTGCATGCATTGTGGTGAAAGCAAGATGTTTGTTGCTTGCAGAGGACGCCCCATCACCAGCTTCCCCCTCGCAAGCCGACCTGTGCGTCCAGCTGAGCTGAAGACGTGCGGAAAATTAAAGGTGCCTGAAATTGCAGTCTCTGAAACTTGCACCTTGGGAATTCTAAGGATGCTTCAATTTAATTGTGTGATGAGTCGTTCTTTATTTCTTTTGGATGGATGATGCAGGGCCAGGGCTTACAATACTTCCCTAGCTCTCTGACTGGGAGAGATGATGAAGAGATGGAGTCGCTGGGATTACTAGCTATTTAGTTGGTTGCATAATTGCATTGGTTAGGGGAAATTCAGGATTGAGCCCTGCAACTAGGGGAAATTTAAGCCTGTGGGGTTATAGATAGACTAGATATTGCTAGTAGTATATGCTTATTTGTGGAAGTGGTAGATGCCATCACCTGTTTCAAAGTATCTTGGTTGAGCAGATGAAATGTATCCTCTCTACTTGGCTTCTCCGTTTGTTTACTACATCTCATATATATATATATATATATATATTCAACAAAAACAAGAGAATGTTATGAATGAATATTCCAATTTGGGATGACAATGTGAAATCCTTTTGGAGGAGCTGAGAATGATATGGTATATACTGATGGAAAAAGTCTATTCTACCGATTGAATTGACGTCGTAGTCTAATTTTACTCCCTCTGATGGAAAAAGTCTATTCTACCGACTGAATTGACGTCGTAGTCTAATATTACTCCCTGAATTTTAAAACCAGATATATTACCTCCTTAACTCTCAAAACCATTCAAATTACCCCTACCCTGGTTTAGAATGGTTTTAAAGGCGGGTTTGTCCTTTTTTTAGTTACAAAAACTCGGTAGATACTCATTAATGTTTTAGAGCACAAAAAATGTCTATAAACTTTTAAAATTTCTTTAAAGAATCTAGAAATATATTAGGATACAAAAAAATCCAAATAGAAATATTTAAATTTCTTAAAAATATCTCTAGATGCTTCATAAACATATTTAGCTCTAGGAAAATGGCAAAAGTATAAAGAAAAATCTAAAAAATCACAAAACATTCTAATTTATATGTAAACATGTTTTTAAAAAGATTTCACAACAAAAAAAGTAATACGCAAGTAACACGAATGCACAACACCAACATGCTTATACATCGATTAGAATGTTTTGGAAATTTTCTATGTTTGGATATTTTTTCTATTTTCCTTGAGCAAAAACTTTTTTTAATTTTCTAAACAGCTCCAAGTATTTTATTTGGATTTTTCATATCCCATTCTATCTCTGGATTTTTTTTCTTTAGAATTTTCAAAAGCCAATAACATTTTTTTTCTATGGTTTAAAAAACTTATCAAGTATTTACCGACTTTTTAACTAGTTAAGGACAAACCCGTTCTTAGAAAAAAAAAACTTGAACTGTTTTTAGAGTTTAGAGGGTAAGATGTCCGATCTAGAGTTTTGAAAAGGAAGATTACCAGGGAAGTGGAGGTAGAATGCATGTGTAATCGAACGAGTGAAGCCCAGAGGTGTATTGGGCTTTGAATTCGTGTGGACACTGGGCCTGTCAGACTTTGCATCCCTTGTCGGGCCTCGGGCCTGGAAAGAAGAATGGCCGAATGGGGCAGCTGAATGGAATTGGAACCGTACAAACGACTAGTGTGAGACAGCAGTCGCTCAAAAAAAAAAAAAGGGTTAGTGTGAGAAGGTACAAAGTACTCCGTCCGTGGTAGGAATGCATGACGTCGTACCATGCGTGATTGTATGTATCGCGCCATCATATCACCATGTATGCATGATCTGATGAGTTCCCTTGTTTTTTACTACGATCCCAACCCATAATAATGTCGATCTGCAGGTCGATCGATGGTCTGGGCTTGGGTCCATCATCAGCTTTGCATTGAGGTCGATCGGCCGATCATTCATTTCGGCCCGGCCACCGGCGTTGGGGAGCAAACAAGCAAATGCACTAGTAAGGAGGTATTTAGATCCGATGACTAAAATTTAGAAAGTGTTACGTGAGGATGTCGCATGGAGTATTTGGATATTAATAAAAAAATAAATTACCGAATCCGTCAGTACTCCACGAGATGAATTTATTAAGTCTAATTAATCCATCATTAGCACATGATTTACTGTAGCACTATGTTGTCGAATCATGGACTAATTAGGCTTAAAAGAATCATCTCATAAATTAGTCACAAGCTAAGCAATTAGTTTCGTAATTAGTCTATATTTAATACTACATGCATGCGTCCAAACATCCGATGGGACAACGACTAAAGCTTAGGAGGAGAAACCAAACACCCCCTAAATGAGTGGGCTACGTAGTATGTATCCGGTATGTATCCGGGGCCCACATGTCGGTGGATGGTTACGCTAATTACTTGCTCCAATACGGATAGAAGTTAGTTCTTCTGATACTGTTGAGGGGAGAGATCAAGGTGCGCGTGTGCCTAATTTGGTTGGTGACGGCCGTGATGTTGTAGGGATGCGTGCCTGATAGGTTAATTCAGTATGCATGATGATGGGTCTAGCAAGGATTCAGTGGACAAAGCCTGTAGTAGAGTAGTGAAGTGAAGGAGAACAATGTCCTATGAGTTACAACCAGTAGTAGAAAGAATGGGACAGTGCCATAGTAGAGTGAGTTTCCAAATGGAGTTAGTAGGACTTTTGTTTGTTGATAAATATGGATTGACTTAAGCGACAGGTGGACAGTTTCTTTCCTTGCTTTCCATCCAACAGTACGAAGTGAGTTCTAAGTGATAAGCATAGAGTTGACACCTTGCTTTGAACTACTTTAAATTTCAATTAGTACTTGGGACAAAACTAACTACAATGAGCTGGGACACAAGGCACTCTTCTTCTTTTAGACTCGATAATCCGGGGCTAAGATAGAACGAATTCCTAACCTGTAAAGCTAGAAAAGGGGAGCCTATTTCCCTATGCCACCCACACACCCACCACCAACCGAATGTCAGAAGACAATAACTACTCAGCCCATTTTTGCTTAGTTGGTAAGGTGACAAAGAACACTCTCAATGCCTGTGAACTTCCCTCTATTGATAGTACCCTCCCAGAATAGAGTTACCAGCTCTTGTTGTCTTGCCGGTGACAAGCTCGGCCTCACCCATTCTTCTCTACGAACGATACTGCACAACTTGCTAGCATTGAGTTTGTATAGCTATCAACTCACTCTCCTACTCTTGTCAACGAACTCATTGAAGTACTCTTTCTCACTCCGCACTCTGAAACAGTTCACTCACTACTTCCTTGTTTGTTGGAAACGAACTCATTTGTCCACTAGTTGTCTCCTACTGTTGGGAATTAACTCATTGATCAGACCAACATCGATGCTTTTCACTCACTACTATGGTTGTTGTTCATTCCTTCACTCTGGAAGTACGCACTCATTATAGCAAAGCAACTCACTAAACTCCCTGCTGTTCACTCCTTTCCCTACTAGATTATTTGAGACAGTAGCTGTGAACTACTCCGTTGCCTCTTGTACCCAACTGTGAACTACTCAACTACCTATGTTGAAACACTGCTTTGTGAACTACACGCTTATTCAACTGAAGCTTTGTGAAAGGAAAATCGAGCGCAAAAGTGCTAAACTTGATCAAGGAGATGAATAGCCAACTTTCGCTTCTAAAGTTCCTTCTTTTTTCTTTTTTCAACAACTCAATAAAACTTTTCTCATATTATGTTATTTGCACCTTTGATTTTTCTCTATCGCTCTAGGACTCTTGTTTAGCTTGTTAGAGGGAATGATCAGCCCGGGGAGAAGGTTTTTTTCCTTCCAACGATGAAGGTGCCTTAAACCGAATAAATATCTCAAGCACTCGAGTAAGTAGTGGATCATAGCATCTTTGAATGAAATTAGTTGGGTAATTGATTCAACTAGTACAAAGAAGTGATCGCTACTTATGGGCGTGCGCTGAAAGGATACAAACAGGGATTCGCAAACAAAAAGGGAAATTCGTAGTCACTTTTTCCTATCGTGTAAAAAAAAGGCTTTACGCGAGAGCAATAGAGGTTGGGATACATCTATCTCTTCTGAGCAACCTCTTTTGGATTCTTAAGACCACCCTTGCAGTAGGATACCGTCTGCTTTAGGTTCTTTATTATCTCCTTCGAGGGGTTTTTAGGATCATTCAGGCTATATTTAGTCTATTTTGGCTTTTACTGTCTACTTTTCTCAGGGAGATGGTTAAGGACCTCAGAAGATAGAGGAGAGCGCCAGGCGCAGATTTCCGGAATACTTCTACGGGGAATGCTCATTCAATGAGCATTCTCCGTATTATGCCTTGAAGAGGACTCGAACCTCCACGCTCTTTAGCACGAGATTTTGAGTCTCGCGTGTCTACCATTTCACCATCAAGGCATCTTGAAAGTGAATCGTATTCCATGAATATGATATCTATCGAATGTGATATATGGAATATATGACAAAGGTGGAGTCTTGGAGTATTTCGATCGATCGGTCATATACATATAGTCCTGAGTCAGACATCAAATAGCTTCGATTTGCATTATTCGTAGGACACCTTATATGTATCAAAATCGATATCAAAATCAAAAAGATGTACAATCCAATTTCTCGATTCAATAGAAGCCCAAAGAGGTGCATATGGTACCCAAATAAGGATAGGATAGATATGTCAAAAGCAGGTCTGATTACACCTATTCCTAATCCTAAATAGAATGTAAGGACGTAGGGATTTCTATGTAAACAGAGTATCCTATTTCCATAGGCTCGAATGACCCATTCTCATAATAAGAATGTGCACGATCTGGTGAAAGCTCTAGTTTGGTTTTGGTGAATTGATGAAACCCTAAGTGCTAACCTAGTTTATCAAGTGATCATGAGATAGGTAGCACATTCAAAGTGATGAAGCAAATGAAGACCATGACATGATGATGGTGACGCCATGGTGATGATCAAGTGCTTGGACTTAAAAAGAAGAAAGAGAAAAACAAAAGGCTCAACGCAAAGGTATAAATGATAGGAGACATTTTGTTTTAGTGATCAGACACTTAGAGAGTGTGATCACATTTAGAATTGATAGCTGTACTATTAAGAGGGGTGAAACTCATATCGAAATGCGGTTATCAAAGTGCCACTAGATGCTCTAACTCATTGCATATGCATTTAGGATCCAGTGGAGTGCTAACACCCTTGAAAATATTTGTGAAAAATATGCTAACACATGTGCACAAGGTGATACACTTGGTGGTTGGCACATTTGAGCAAGGGTTAGGAACTTCACCGGCGCCCTAGACAT